TTAAGGAGCTGATCAGTTCTTTAAGATAGAGCCTGTGAACCTCCAGCTTGGTTCTTTTCCACTGACGCTCAGTCTTACGGCAAACTCTCCTCAAGCTAAGGRTTTCYTYATTAATCCAAGGACAGTTTGTGCGCTGCACAGTGCTCTGTTTTACATGTGCTATAGTGTCTAAAATATTTATACAATGAGCATTAAAACACAAAACATATGAGTCCACATTAATGATGTTATTATCTAAAGAGGCAGAATCAAAAAGGGAAGTAAAGGCTTCAGGAGTGTGCTCATTTATGATCCGCCTTTGGATCATAAGTCGAGGAGGAGCTGGATCAGGACTAAAAGACACATTAAAATATAAACAATTATGATCACTTAAAAATATATCCTCCACACAAACATCCTCTATATTAAGGCCAGGGGTTGGTTGTTTTGGCGTCGGGCGAGGGAATGGCCTTGTGACAAAGTTTGCAGATTACCGTTTTCTGCTCCGTGTCAGACTTCTTGAATCCAAAATGTAACCAAATAACAGACGTTCCCCCTCTTTTTGGTAAAAGTCCTTCTTGGGCTGCCTGCGTAGCTGTTTCTGCTTCTGACGCCGGCGGAGATGCTACCTCATGTTCCTGTGTCTCCATTGTTCAGCTCTCGAGTAGCATGTCGCAAACCCGCGTGTCCGTCAAATAATGTAAAGCAGCGTCATGTCGCAAAACCACAGTATGAAGCGTCTTTGCGAAAGTTATTTTTTATTCTTATTTATCACTTATATAAACTTAGTTTATGCAAAGTAACAATACCAATACATTTAAACTTAGCCTACTTTATATATTTGCATGAATATTAATAAAATTATTTTATAAACGATAGAAACGATAGAAGGCAAGTAGCACAATAGACACTTTTCTATCGTCCCCACGATAGATATCATCATATCGCGCAGCACTAGTTTACACTTACATTTACACTTCTCATCAACCTCAATCAAATTCACTCTATCCATGGGCTCCATGTGTCTGGATAGATTTATATTTATTAATTTTTTTTCTGAACAATGAAAAGATGGAATAAAAAC